ATTGCTCAACCCCCCCTTGTTTTCCACCCCCACCTACCCACCCACCTGGACTCTTGGTCCTGGCAGAAGCCAAGAAGCGAAGAAGGTGGATGTCGGTGGCTCAGCTGTCCACAGTATGAAGCAGAATCTAGGGGTTCTGGGTGACCTGCAGTTCTTTAATGAGGGACCTGGACCTGGAGAGGGGGTTGCCTAGCAGCTATGGGCAGTGGCTGACCTGGCCAGGCCTACGGTGTCTAGGTGAGTGGAGCACCTGTCTAGGTGCCCCAACCCAGTGGTGGAGTTTCCGGTACCACTACTGCCAGGTCCTGGGCTAGCAGGATGGTGAGTGGTTCCCTGGCATGGTACAAGTGGTTCATTTCATGGTTCTGGTTCCTGAGGGCCCTGGGCCAAAGCTGAAGGTCAGTAAGGGGCTTCCTGGGGCCCTCCCCCCTAATAGGGAAATAAGTTTTCCAGATCTTCCAGCCTCCGCATCTCCTCCAGCCCGATGGTCACTGTTTTCCTCTGGGGTTCCTTGCGCTGCACAGTGATCTGGATGGGGTTGTTCTCGGGGAAGCTGTTCAGGTCAGTGGCCACAGTTGCAAACTGAAATAACACAAGAAGACCCCTCAGATTTCCTTCCCAGACCTGACCTCTTTGTTCTCCTCCACCCCTCATTTGCTAAATGGGATCTTAGCTAGCCTTACCAACTAACCCATCAACACCAGAAACAGGTGCAAAGAGGCATGATTCAGACCTGTGATGTTTCCATCTGTAGAGCTGTGTACTTGGGTCTCTCCCCCATCCTGTACCCCTGTACACTCCACTACCCCCCACAGACTGCTCCCTTGTCCCTCTTCAGCCTCCCCTATTTCAATGCCTTTGACTTCCCGACCCACTCACTCAAGATCATTGGCACCAAGTTGAAAGATGAATATCATAGTGATGCTAATGAATATGTTAGTTTGCATTTCCAGTGGGCGCTGGAGTGACTTAATCCTTAAACCTCCCAAAAGAGAACAGCTCGGAATTGATGTATATTTGTCCAGGTGGAAGGAAAGCAAGCAAGGAGATGAGTCCTGGGGGTATAGGGGTATCCCCAACCTCCAAAGCCCCTGGTGCAGACGTCTCTCCCTGACCCCTCATGCCCCCTTCTCCCAGGGCTCACTTTGTAGGGCTTGGACCACTTCCCCACCCCGGCTGCATTGGCAGCACGGACGGTGAGGCAGTAACTTGTGTTAGGCTTCAGCTCCATCAGCTTGACGGTGGTGCCCAAGATCTTGTTGAAGATCCACGGGCGAGTCTTTGCATTGGGAGGCTCGTTATTTTTCTTGGTCGCCTCCTGCAACAAGACCTGGTAGAAACTGACTTGCTGCTTGCCCAAGGCATAGGTCCAGGAAATCTAGGGGAAGAAAGCCCCCAAGGCTTCCTCAGACCTGGCCTGGTCTGGCCTCCCCTCACCCCACCCCACCTCCATCCCCTGTCCCTGTTGGAACAGAGGCAGGTCTGATGGGAGGTGTAAGGCACTCAATTGGATGTGGAGTCCCGTGCCCGCTGCATATGCTACTCTCCCTGTGCAATCCCACCCACTTCAGAGTGTACCCTTATTCCATATTTTCTTAGACTATTGTCAGTTGAGAGGGACCTTAGAGACCATCTTGTCCACCTCGCTCACTGCGGATGGGGTTAAATGTTCAGAGAGGGTAACTGGCTGACCCACAGGCACACAGCAATCGAGTGACAGAACCAGGGTTCAAACCAATAGCTCCAGAGCCCATACACTGTACTACAACAGTGGTTGCCAAGCCTGGCTAAGGATCTGAGGGAGTTTTATTAACACTGAGGATTCCTGGCCTGCTGTCTTCTGCCTGTCTCTCATTTCCAGTTTCTCCTCTGTCTAGGCCAGTTCTCAAGAGTTGGTGTGCATCAAAACACCCTAAAGAACTTGTTAAAACACAGATTGCTAGCCCCTGCCCAGTCAGTTTCTGATTCAGTATGCCTAAGTGGGGGGGTAGGGGACAAGAATTTAAATTTTTAACAAGTTGCCATATGATGCTGATGCTGGGAACCACACTTTGAGAAACACTGCTCTAGGCCATCCAACGATGGGGCTTCCAGATTTATTTTCCTTAAATACAGTTCAAATTGCATCCATCATCACACATAAAGCACTGCAAAAAGCTGTTCCCTATTGCTTACAGAAAAATCTATAAAGTAGCCCAACATTGGAGGACCAGCAGAAAATGACCCCAGACTAACTTTCCATTCATCTCTATTCCCCTTCTGTTACTCTAGGTCAGTGATACTCTATGTGAGGTCTGTGGGCCATCAGCACCACTTGGGAATTTGTTAGCAGTACAAATTTTCAGGCCACACCCCCATGCCTACTGAATCGGAACCTGTAAGGGATAAGGCCCAGGAATCTCATTTTTAACAAGATGATCAGATCTGCAGGCACATGGAAGTGTGGGATGTTCTGGATTAAGACCTGGTGTCTCTTCAACTCTCTCACCTATGAGCCTTTGCTAGTGTCAGCCCCTCCATGGAATGACTTTCCCCTATCTCCAGATGTTTAAATCCTACCTCTGTATCCCAGCTCAAATGTTACCAAGAGCCACCAATTCCTCTACCTGGAAGTAATGTTATACTCCCTCTGAACTCCTGGCATCTGAACTCTTCCTACAGCACTGAGCCCTTTCTAGGTTGCACTGGAGTTCTTCACAGGCATACATACCCTCTCTCCTAACCCATGAACTTGAGCTCAAGATGCAGGTGGTAGATATCTTCACATTCCCTACAGAGCTCAGTTCAGTGCCTGGCACATTGGGGATGGTCAGTAAGCCTTTACCAAGAGTACAAGGAGGCGAACGCACCACAGCCGTGGAATCGCTGACCGTATGCTCACAGATGAAGGGCGCCTCTGGTACATCCATGACCACGGAGGACTCTGAGCGTGTTGAGGAGGTGTCCGTGTCCAGCTCAGGGTTGTCAAGGTCAAGCAGGCCCCCAGGAGCGACTTTGGACTTAGATTGGTGGGGGCAGAGGGCCATGTCCCCCTTTCCCGTATTCTTGGCCACCGAGGAGGTGCTGAGTTTGTTCAGCTCGCCTTCCAGCATCCCTGCAAAGAAGCTGCTGTTGGGCTGGGTCACTGCCAGTTTGATGGGATTCAACAAGGTGGATGAGATGGGGGAGATGCTGGTGTCATCTGAGCTGCATTCAGAATCATCCCCTGGCATTGGCCTCCTGGAGTGAGAGGAGGACAGATGAGCCAGATGAAGGAGGCCACCCCAGCCCATGCAGCCTAGAAGCTCCTGGAGGCCAGGCTTGACTTGCAAGGGTCCCCAGCTGCTTCTGAACAGCTCAGAACATCCTTACTGCTGTGCAGCAGTGCATCAAACTCACCAGGGCACTCATTAGGGAAAAGTGCATATTCCTGGTCTCCAGCCCCCAGGTGGGATGGCACTGGGGAAGCTGCTAAAGTTAATAGGATCCTCAGACAATTCTGATGCAGGTGTTCTGAACACCACAATTCGAGAAACACTAATAAAACTTTAAGTCCTCCCTCCAAGTGGGGGGCAAGCGCCCCAGGAAATGACCACACTGATCTACTTGGGTATGAAAAAATATCCAAAAGTATCTAAAAGAAAAATAATAAATTAAGCTTTACTAATATGTACTTACTATTGTTTAATAGTTAATGTAATTACTGATTTATTTACTTAGAATTTATAACATTTAACAATATTAATATATAGCATGTAAAATTGATATACATATATCGGGGTGAATGATTGAAACTTTTTTCTTTCATTCTAATTTTTTAAAATTATGAACTATTTTAGACATATTCAAGGATATTAAGACTAATATATTAAGCTTTTATTTAGCCATCATTCAGCTTCAGAACTCAAGCCTGATCAGTACAGGACCCTAGATACTTCCTTTCCCCACCTCAGTCCTCATCCTCCCTCTCAGAGGTAACCAGCAAATTTTAAATTTTGTGTTTATTATTTCCCATGCCTTTACAAGTTTGTTATATGTATGTTATCTCTATGCAAGGTCCATTTTGCATATTTCTTAACTTTACATAAATAAATGGTATCGTATCTATTGGCAGCTTGCTTTTTCGTTCAATATTGTGTTCTTTAGATTCATCTGTATTATACATGTAGCTCTGGTTCAGTCATTTTAACTGTTGTATATTGTTACCAATTCTTTGCTACTACCAAAAAAAAAAAACAAAAAAAAACTTGTACATGTTTCCCCGCTGCTTAATTTTTTTTTACTGTTGAACTACAGAACTCAAAAAATTTGGCTTTCAAGTCTTTTTTAAAATCTTGATCCAAAGTAAGAAACCTGTATTACATGGCAACCTAGTATACTCATACACACATATAAAACTAAAACACATTGCACAAACCAGTACTTATACTATGTGTGATGTGCTCTGGAATTTTTTATTCTGTTTTATTTCCTTTTTATAATACTGATCTCCACCAACTAGAATGAATTCCTGATCCATTAATAGGTCACAACCTACGGTTTGAAGAGCATTTGTCTAGAGAGAGCAGTCAAGGTCACATGGTAAGTTGATGGCAGAGTTGGAACTGAAACCAAGATTTCCTACCCCATGCTATGTGGCTGCCATGTGCCCCTGGCGCTTTGTGGGTCCTCTCCTTTGCTTCCTACCCCACCTCCCTCAGCTGCTCTGGCCAAGTCCAACAACCAACTCCTGGATCTCTTACTCCAGGCCAGCCTCTAGCTTCATGGTTGGTTGACGGGCCAAATTTTTCTCCCTGAGCTCTATCCCCATTGACCTCCTCTTAAGAAACCCTGATCAACCCAAACCTCCCATGCTAGCCCTTGGCGGACATTTGGAATTAGAGGATTCCCTCACCGAGATCCTTTGTGGGCTGAAATGTCTGAGTATTGATGCCATTTATACTTCAGATTATCCTAATGAATCTCTGTTTTATATTTACTTATTCAAAACACCAGTGCTGAATAGGCATGGAAGGCAGCTAGATATTGGGCATATACTGGACATAGTCTCTGCTGGATGGGTGTTAGCTCCTATTTTCAAATGAGAGACTGAAGCTCCCTGATCTTAATGAACTTGTCTACAGCATATATTTCTAAGTGGTACAACTTGGGTTTGATCTTGGGCTCATAGCCCTAGACTTTCCCATTATACCATGAAGTTTCCTACAAGTATTCATCTCTTAAGCCTTACTGGCTTATTTATAGGTCTCTTAGGGCAGTGGCTCCCAATCTTTTTGGCACCAGGGACCAGTGCTCCTATGAGAAGCTAATGCCTGATGATCTGAAGTGGAGCTGAGGCGGTGATGCTAGCGCTGGAGAGCGGCTGCAAATACAGGTGAAGCTTTGCTGACTGGACCACTTCTCACTTCCTGCTGTGTGGCCCAGTTCATAAGAGGCCACGGACCAGTACCGGTCCCTAGCCCAGGGGTTAGGGACCCCTGCCTTAGGGAATGGACACCATATCCCTTTCATATAATCAGGACCAGCTGCATAGCTTGTGGGTTCCTTTCTTCAAAAATTATTGAGAATTTCAAGAAAACGACAGTAGAGAATTAAAGTTAACAACAGGGCCCTTCTAAGTGTGGAGTTGTGTGTGACTGCACAGGTCACACACCCATGAAAGTGCCCTGCAGATAATTTCCTCAACCCACACTAACTGGCACCACCACTCCTTCACTGGCTCACTCCCTTCCTTTCCTAGGAGATTCAGCTCACAAATAACCTCCTCCAATAAGTCTCCCTTAACTGCACCCCTCCCAAGCTATACTAAGCTCCTTCTGGTTCCTCAGTATCCTGTCAAAGCACAAACTATGGTGTATTATTCTCAGTTCCTGCCTGACACCCTCCCAACACACACACACACACACACACACACACACACACACTAATCCCTGAGGCCTCCTGGAGGGGAATCTTACATACCTCCGAGAACTGATTTGGGGTCGGGAATCCATGTTGCAACCTGTACACATGCTCTTCCCTGGGGAGTCCAGGGACTAGGTTGTGACAAGTCCAGGAAGTACCACTTCTTCAAGCCCCTCCCACCCCCGCATCACAACCCCCTCCCCCAGCTCCAGCCTTAGAAAGGAGGAAAGGGCCAGACTTGTGTCTTACGGTAGATTGATGGTATCTTCCTCCAAGAAGTTTACCAAACTGCCTTTTGAGGAAAGTGGGAGTCCTTTGGTAGCGACCGTCCTGTTCATAGACTTGGGGTTTGGAAAGGGCTTCGAATTTTGATCAAGCACATTCAAAATGTTGAAGGTTTCCTTTTTCAGCATGGCCTCCTCCCCATCTCCCACTTTATAGAGCATCTCTGACGCCATTTAGTTTGTTCAGGACCACAGCTGTCACCATGCAGGACATCCAAGCTGACAGGAAGCAGAGAGAAACTGGGGGCAGCAGACCCACCCTTAGTTTGGGTGGGATGGAAGTACAATGAGCTGACTTCATAATCATTGCAGAGTGTAACAATTAGGGGCCAGCCTCCCCCTTGATCTGAGGCTGCTGCTGCCCAGGACCAGGGTCTGGAGTGGGATAAAGCCAAGGAACAGACTCCATCACCCTTCCAGCGCCAACGCTCTGTGGTTACAGCAGCCCTGCCCTTCTCTGAAGTTCCCCAAACGCTTACCACCTGTGCCCTTTAGAACTGCCCTGGGAAGGAGAAGAAGGATGGTGGATGAAAGGCACCTGGTATGGAGGGTAGGCAGCACTGGAATGGGTCTCTGGGAGTGGGAGACTTTGTAGAATGCTGAGGCTCTATATCTAGAAATTCTAGGCAGCAAAGCCCCACTATGTCCAGTCAAGTAGGCATAGGGAAAGCCCATAAGGTCATGGGGTTCATAGCTCACACATACCCAGCTTATACTGCTAGAATTCTGAATGTGCCATACCCTCACCCCAAGTATCTTCATATATTGAGTGATAATGAAGAGGGATGCAAGGGTGGGCCAGACATTATTTCTGTTCTCAAGGAAACCACTCTACAGTAGTAAAACATACACACTGCTTCTAGGATGGGAAGAGAGCTGTTAAAACAGCATTGGCTTTGCATTTAGATGTGGATTTGTCTGCTCTGAGTTCAGCTTCTGCCCTCACGGGCTCTGTATGTAATCTTTGGCACAAGACTTCACCTTCCTGGGTTTCCTGACCTGTAAAATAGGTGTAAAAATAGCACCTGCCTTACTGGATTATGAGGAGATAACCTTGTAAGGTTGTTTTGTTTCTTCCAGGATGAGGCAAAGTCAGGACATTTAAAAATACCAAATTCTATTTTTTGTGTTCTATGTAGTCAGGGTTTTTGTTATTCATTAAAAATAAAAAGGAAAATACAGAGAAGCAGGTGTCCTCTACTGCTCTTAGCACCCATGGCATAATCCGTAATATCATACTATTTGATTGATTTGATCCCTCTTTACTGTCTTGGCCTAACATGTAGGTCTCCTGACCCAGCATTTAGAACGGAAGGTCGCGGGGAGGCCGCGCGTCCATCGCGCGAGGCCAGCAGGTGGCGCTGTCGACCCGATCCCGGAGCCTGGAAGCCGGAAGCGGTGGTGCGTTCCCGGCGGGCGGGCCCTGGGCACCGGACACCCGGCCGGGTCTTCACCCGGCGGGGTCTTCACCCGCCGCACCGCCGCCTCCTTCCGCCCCCGTACTTCCTCCAGAAAGGGCGCTGAGAGGCGTCTGGAGAGGGTCCCGGGCCCTCAGGGAACATGGGCGTGCTCAGGGCCGGACTGTGCCCAGGCCTCACCGAGGACATGGTCCAGCTTCTGAGGAGCCGTGGGATCAAGACAGGTGACTGTGCGTGCGCGCCACACAGCAGGGCACAGCGCAGAGGCCGGCCCCATCGCCCTGGCATACCCAGGAGGGAGACATCTGCTTTCTCCTCGGTCCCCACCCTTCTGGAGAGGCTCTGGAAGGTGGGAGTGGGCGCCCACACCCCGGGAAGGGCAGAACCCCTACTGTGTGCCCAGCACCACGCCAGGTCCTGTGGCTCTATTCCTGTAGGCCTCCTGACATGGCCTGCTCCAAAGTGGAATTGTCACCCTATTTTACTGATGAGGAAAAGCCGTGTGGGAGGCCCCGCCCTTCCTGCCAATCAACCATATGTGTTTTGTTTTCAGTAGTGGACCTGGTTTCTGCAGACCTGGAGGAGGTAGCCCTGAAATGTGGCTTGTCTTATAAGGTGAGCTGACGCTCTCCATGCTGCAAACCTGGGTGTCTCTAAATGTCCATCCCTGAACCAAAGGAGTGAAGGGTTCCCAGAGATTGATAAGGGTTATGTATGAGACCCTGAGATGCCGCCTCCCTTGGCTGGTCATTGCTCATTGCTGAATTCTCTGGTCTCTTTGGGGTTGAAATGCCCCTGGCATCATCCTGAATTGCCCCTGCCTCTTCCGCAGGCCCTGGTTGCTCTGAGGCGGGTGCTGCTGGCCCAGTTCTCAGCCTTCCCCTTCAATGGCGCTGATCTCTACGAGGAACTGAAAACCTCCACTGCCATCCTGTCTACCGGCATTGGAAGGTTTGTATGTGTAGTTGGGGGAAAAGGTGGGAGGCCTGAGGATGTAGCTGCCTCTGGCTTAGCTTTTGAAACTTGATGCTCTAGAGAGAGCAGGGTTTTTCAAGCAGTGGTGAGGGCAGCATGGACCAATAGTCAGGACTTCTGAGTTCTCTTACCTTATAACAGGATTTCTCCACTTCAGACTTTTAATGTTTTGGGAAAGGCAAATTTTTCGTGATGATAAGGAGTGTCCTGTACGCTATAGGATGTTTGACAGCATCCATCGCCTGTATCAGCTAGATGCCAATAAGTAGCACCTCCCCCCGCCCAAGTTGTGACAATCAAAAATGTCTCCAGACATTGCCAAATATTTGGCCCCAGGGAGATAAAATTGCCCCTGATTGAGAACCACTGTCCTGTAAGATGTCAGTATTTCATTATTATTTAGCAGGTCAGAGCAACACTTCTTTGGCCCCACCTTCTATTTAACTTAAGGATAGGGCAAGAAACATGGCAGGACTAAGATTTGTGGAATGCCTACTATGTGCCAGCCATTTACTGTTGGTTGTATAATCTCTTCAGTGAACCCTGTAAGTGATTACTAACCCATGAGTTTAACCCAAGAGGAGTGAGGGGCAGAGGATGGGGCTTAAGCCCTGCGGTATTTGACCCAGGACTTGGTCCATGTCCCCTACTCTGCAGCTGGAGGGGCAAGAGAGCTTCCATAAAGGAGTAGCTATATTCTGCTGCGTTTGGAAAGGGAGAGAGTTGGAAGACAACAGCCCATTTCTAGCCAAAGAAGTCGGCCTCTTTCCTGGCCTGTTTGTGTGGAACTTGATGGAGAACTCTGCCACCACAAAGGTCTTTGGCCCTTGCTGTTTCCATGACATGTTCTCTTGGCAAGGTTCACACAGCATGGTGCTTGCTCCCCCTGTTTGGGTGTCTAAGTCTGTTGATGGCAAGCACTGGCTGAGTGCCTACTGGGTGCCAGATAACATTCGCATGATAGGTATACAAGTGAGGCAAGGCTCTTGCACTTAAGGAATATGGGTTCCAGTGGGTAGAGAGAAGAGCAGACGAATACAATAGAGAGGTGTACACATGTGGCGGTGGCATTAAGAAGGGGGTGATTAACAGGAAGCAGACCTGGCCTTTGGGCTTAGGGAGCTTATAAAACCAACATACTCAGAGGAAGCATTTAGGGAACAGTCAGGTGGTAAACTGGCAGGATTGCAGCTGCAGTGGATCACGCCGGGAAAGTCAGAGTGGTTCAGGAAAGCTCTGAGAAGGAGGCAGGCCTTGGGCATTGAGGAATGGGTGGGCTTCCTCTGAGTCCTTACCACGAAGCAGGTGCCATGCTTACTCTTCAGGTGCATTATTTCATTTGTTCTTCACAACCACCAATGAGCACATTGCGATTAAAATCATAATTCTTTAGATGAAGAAACTGGAACTCATGTTAAATGGCTTGCTCAAGATCGTGCAGCTAGTAAATGGCAGACCAGGCACTTGAAGTCACATCTGTTACACTCCTAAGTCTAAGAACCATATTCTAACTCATCTGCCCTGTTGTCTCCTTCGAGGCGGGAGGCTGTATTATGAAAGCAGAGCTACAGGCAGTGTGGTAGAGGTGTGCAGGTTGGATGGGACTAGGGAGGCTAGCAGGAGAGAGGCCAAGGAGAGGCATGGTAGTGGTGGGGTGTGGGTGTCCGATCTACAGCAGGTGACAGCAGGAGACGTGTTGGAGAGGAGATGTGATAAGCCTTACTGCCAGGGAGGATACAGGCATGAAGAATCAAAGATGACTGCCTAGGCTTCTCCTTCCTCACAGTGGTCTGTAGACAGTTAGTGAATGTGACTTTTAAAGAGTAAGGGGGAGGGGAGTTCTTTAGTCAAAAATTTAGGAAATACTCCGTTAATCCAAGTTAAACAGGTTTCTTTGATTTAGAGCCTTCAGTGCTAATGTGCAGTATGGATCTTCATGAGGACAATAGGGCATGTAGTGTACCTTGGAAGAAGCCGTATTAATTGGGGGAAACGGGTGGTTCCTTGAAGGCCAGGGAAATGTCTTGTTTGTCTCTGTATCTCCCTCATTTTAAAATAAGGCCTTCAGGAAATGTGAGGCATTCAGGTAATGTTTGAATGAATGGCTGAAAAAAATGACCAAAAGCCAGTTCAGAGGGAAAAGTGGAGGATAAATTCTGGAAATCACTTGTATCCAGAATAAATGGTAAAACACAGGTGTTCTGCTCCACAAGGCGGGCAGGGGGGTCTTTCCACGTCGATGCGCCGAGTTAGAGGTGATTGGTAGGGAGGTCCTCTAGGCGGTAGGAGACATGGAACAAAACAGATGAAATTTCTTATGCTGAGTGATCCTCACAGCCAACAATGCTTGATTGTTGACTGGAGAATCAAGACCTGTGGTTTAGCCCAGGCCACACATTAGATCATTTGAGAAACTTAAGAAATCGTTATACCTGGGTCTCACCTTCAGAAGTTCTGACTTATCTGGACTAGGTCAATGGTTCCCAAACTTGTCTGCACATTAGAATCACCTGGAAGTCTAATTTTTTAAAAGATAAATTTTTATTGCAGATCTGAATGTTAGAGCATCATAAAAAATGTTTAAATAACATTTAGTGTTTTTCTGATTATAAAAGTGATACATACTCATGGTAGACGATCTGTAACACACAGACATAAAAAATAAAAACCACTTCAGTCAATAATTTTAGCCTTTTTGTGTTCATAGATATTTACCTTATAAGATTCGTGTTAGATAATGTACACAGTGTTATCCCTTTTTGCTTAATATTCTCTCCAATGTCTTAACATTTCCCCAATGTCTTTAAAAAATCTTTAAGACATTTTAATAGCCATATAACATATAATATGTATAAATCACAATTTACCCATAATTAATTATTCAACCAGCCACCAATTTGGAAATTTCCAACTTTTCTCTGGTAATTCATTCTTTAAACATGCCAAAGCCAGACCTCTGCAGATAATTAAATCACGCTCTCTGGGGCAGGACCTAGGCATCAGTGTATCTTGACGCTCCTAGATGACTCCAGGATATAGGCAAGTTTCAGAATCAATGATACCAGCCTCTTTTCAAACTCCTTTGGCGATTGTAATAGGCAGGCAGGACTGAGAATCACTAGCCTAGCCTAATGGTTTTTCAAAATTGAGCATGCATCTAAATTACCTGGAGACTTTGTTGGAACTTGAATGTGGTCTCTACCCCAGAGTTTCTGGTTCAGTCGGTGTGGGGTGGGGCCTGAGAGTTTGTACTTCTAACCAGTTCCCCGGGGGATGCTGCTGCTGCTGTTTTGGAGACCACACTGGGAGAAGCACTGCTGTAATGAAACTGCGGGTTCTCTGATCTCAGTGGGAGGAATGGGATCCGGGAGCGGCAGAGGCTGGATGCCTTCTTAAACAGGTGCTTATTAAACAGAGACAGGATGAACACATTTGTCTCAAGAAGCCATGAGGCTGCAGTGGTAACCAGAGCATTTTGACTGGCAGGAACCCATGGTAATTATCACAGGGTCCCTGGAATTGAAATAGATGGGGTGCTTACTAAGGTGCTACTTGGCAATACAGGGGGGTCATGGGAGGTCTTTTTTTTTTTCATGGAAGGTCTTAAAGAACAATTTCAGAGGACTGGCACCTGTGAAGGTAATTGCAGGGTTAGATAAGGGATGTGTGTGGTCAGGACACACAGGCATTGGTGTAGGCTGTGGTGTAGGAGGAGAAGATGCTTCAGCCGGTAGGATGGGCAGGGCATGGAAGTGGGTAATGACCTGTTTCATGGTGGTTCAAGCACAGAACCTGAATTGGGAATTGGCTGTGTCTTGAATTTATCCCAAGGCTTCCACAGCCAGAAGGCTGACAATAATAGGAACTAAATAGTACTATTCTATCACTCATTTCTCTGGGAACACTTATTGTGTGTCTCCTATGTTTTAGGCACTGTGCCAGTGTTGGGGATATAAGAGTGAGCAAAGCCCAGTCCTTGCCCCAGGGTGCTCTGGGCCAAATGGGGAAGACAGACAAAAACAAACACATAGAAAATAATTACAAACTCCTAGAACAAATGAGTGAATTTGGCAAGGTTGCAGGATACAAGAGCAACACATAAAAATCAATTGAATTTCTATATACTCAAAATGAACATGTGGAAATGGAAGTTAAAAACACAACGCCACTTACAATTGCTTCAAAGAAAGTAAAATAATTAGGTCTAAATCTCATAAAGTAAGTATAGGATCTAGATGCTGAAAATTAAAAATTGTTGATGAAAGAAATCAAAGAGCACCCAGATAAATGGAGAGACATACTGTGTTTGTGTATTGGGAGATTCAACGTTGCAAAGATGTCAGTTCTTCCCAAATTGATCTATAGTTTTAATGCAGTTCCTACCAAAATCCCAGCAAAGTTATTTGTAGAAATAGGTTTATTCTAATAATTTTATGGAAAAGCAAATGGCCTAGAATAGCTAAAACGATTTTGAAAAAGAAAAATAAAGTTGGAAGAATCACTACCAAATGTTAAGGCTTACTATATAGCTGTAGTCATCAAGACAAATGCGATATTGGCAAAGAGATAGACACACAGATCAATGGAGTGGAATAGAGAACCCAGAAAAAGACCCCAGATACGTCCAACTGGTTTTTGACAAAGATGCGAAAATGCTTCAGTGGAAGAGCAGTATAGCTTTTTGAACAAATGATGCTGGAGCTATTGGACATCATAAGTAATAAACCTAAACCTCCTGCCTTATACAAAAATTGAAAATGGAGTGTGGACTTAAATGTAAAACTTAAAACTTATCAAGCTTTTAGAACAAAACAGGAGAAAATCTTTGGGAACTAAGGCTAGGCAAAGAATTCTTAGACTTGACACCAAAAGTGTGATCTATAAAAAAATTGATAATTTTTTAATGAAAAAAAAATCTTAATTATAAACTAATCAAAATTTAAAACTTTACAAAAGAGGATGAAAGACAAGCTATTAAGTGGGGAAAATATTTTAAAGCCACATATTCAACAAAGGACTTGTATCTAGAATATATAAAGAATTCTTAAATGTCAACAGTGAAACAAACAATCCAATTAGAAAATGGGCAAGACACGAACAGACATTTCACCAAAGACATACAAGTGACAAATAATCACATAAAAGTATGGTTAATCTTATTAGTCGTTAGGAAAACACAAATTAAAACCACAATGATATGTTGTAACACCTAAAATTAATATAATATTGTATTCCAATTGTAACTGAAAAATTAAAAAAAAAGAAACAATGAGATATTACTACATAGCTACCAGAATGGCTAAAAACAAGGAAAAATAATAACACTAAATGCTGGTAAGATTGTGGAGAAACTGGATTACTCATACATTGCTAGTTGGAAAGCAAAATGGCATAGCCACTCTGGAAAATATAGCTTAGTAATGTCTTATAAAAGTAATATATGCTTACCATACAACCCAGCAGTTGTATTCTTGGGCATTTATTTCAGAGAAATAAAAACTCAGGTTTACACAAAAACCTGTATATAAATGTTCATAGCAGCTTTATTCATAATTGCCCCAAACTAGAAACAGCTAAAATGTCCTTCAGTGGGTGAATGGTTAAACAAACTTGGTAGATCCATACCATGGAATACTATCCAGCAATAACAAAGAACAAACTATCAATATACACATCAACTTGGATGGATTGCAAGGGAACAATGCTGAGTGAAAAAAGCTAATCACAAAGGTTACATACTATATGATTTTATATATATAACATTCTTGAAATAACATAATGGAGAACAGTTTAGTGGTTGCCAGGGGCTAGGGACTAGAGGTGGGGATAGGGGGTGTGGCTATAAAAAGGGTAACACGAGAGAGCCATGTAGCGATAGAAATGTTCTGTTTCTTGATGGTGGTGGTTACTTAAACCTACATGTGTGATAAAATGGCATAGAACTATACACACAGATATACATGGATGTAACACTGGAAATCTGAATAAGCTCTCTGAACTGTACCAATGTCAATGCGTGATATTGTACCATTCATCTTATTGTGCAAGATGCTACAATTAGGGAAAACTAGGTGAAGGGCATATGGGACCTCCCTGTACATTTTTTGCAACTTCCTATGAATCTATAATTATTTCAAAGTAAAAAAAAAAAAAAAAAAGATAAAGTATGGAAAATGCTATCAAGGAAACCCACAAGGGGCTGAGATGGAGAATGAAAGGAAGACCTTTTGATGGGGTGGCAAAGACCTCTGAGGAGAGATGCTCTTTAAGCTGAGAGTGAAAGGTTGAGGAGGGGCCATGGAGGAACACTTGGCTGTGCTCTCTTTCCCCAAAAGAAACTCCACCAAGAAAAGCCTCCTGATCAGAGACGTTCATAAGGTCTCTGGACAGAAATCACACTTGGAAGGAAGTCTTGCTTTTCTTCTTGGCTCCTACTCCCTTCTGTACTCTCCAGTTCCTGTATTAATTCTATTCCCCACTTTTCTGCCATCAGCCTGGACAAACTGCTTGATGCTGGTCTCTATACTGGAGAAGTGACTGAAATTGCAGGAGGCCCAGGTAGCGGCAAAACTCAGGTACACATGCAGCCAGCAGCTGGGAGGCTGGGGGAGGCAGGTATACAGTCCTGGATCCCTGAGGGAGCCTCTGCCAGTGGCTTGTGATTCAGAGCTCAGAAGAGAGAAGATGGGTGGTGAGGAAAGAGGCATGAACTTGGCCCATTCATGTCACTGAGATCTGGATTAGGTTTGATGGGGAGTACCCATTCTGGGCCCTTTTTGAGGAGTCAAGTTCACCCAGCACCTTGTCTCTCTTCAGGTATGTCTCTGTGTGGCTGCAAATGTAGCTCATGGCCTACAGCAAAATGTCCTATACATTGATTCTAATGGAGGGCTGACAGCCTCCCGCATCCTCCAGCTACTTCAGGCCAGAACCCCAGATGAGGAGGAACAGGTAAAGGACAGCAGGAGAGTTGGATTTCTTTGAGGCCCTGACACAAAAGAAGACTCCATTACCCCTTACAAATGGCAAGAATTTGGGCCATTTAGATGAATAGTCATTTTTGGCTTTGAAACTTGCTATCCTATTACTACTTACTGTATTCTTCAAGCCTCCCCTCTTATGACATCATCCAAGCTGAGATGCTACCCATACTATCTTTCTAGGAAACCTATTTCTTGCATACCCTAATTCAAGGCTGGCAGACACCCAGTATCTTTCCCATTTTTTTGCCCATGACAGACACCACTAATTAGTCCTGTTACTCTTGCCTACTGAGCTCTGATTTGGCTTTGTAGCTCAACACCCAGGCAGCCACTACTGTGAGAACTGGTCCATTAGACAAAACTCATTTGCCATCCTGGACCTGAGTTCTTTTACCTAGGTGCCTTTTCCTGCTCAGGCTTAAAATCCCTCTTCATCTTGCTCAACCGTCTGCTCCCTCTTATCCGAAGCCCCTCCTTCTCTTTTCCGCCCTTTTAGGCAGGAGCTCTCCAGAGGATCCACGTGGTACATGCCTTTGACATCTTCCAGATGTTGGATGTGCTGCAGGACCTCCGAGGCACTGTGACCCAGCAGGTGAGCCTGCTGTTCTGCCCTTTTCTGGTTTATCCAGCTCACCAGGTGCTATCTGTATGTGGGCAGGTGTCCTGCCACAGACAATGTTTGGAAATGCAGATATGCAATCTGGTGACTCCAGCTGTGCTTTCCATTCCCAGGATGGGATTCCTAGGATGGGATTCTTAAGTGCTTAATTCATTCCTGAGTGCCTCATTGTTTAGATGCTCATCTCCCCCACTAAACAGTAAGATCCTTGAGTGTGGGGATCATGTCGTATGCATCTCTGCATTCCCCCACTAGATCAGTTTTCAGTTGCAAGTAATGAGTCTTTCTGACAGACATTTGAAACTTGAGGACATTTAATTATCTCACAAGAGTCTGGAAGTTGGCAGGGCCACAATATCAGGGCTCTAGATTGGTGTGTCTGATTCTCTTGCTTTTCTCCCTCATGATTGCAAAGTGGCTGCTATAGATAAAAGCCTCAGGATTTTATACATCTACATCCATAGTCAGGGCAATGAAAGTAGATGCCTCTTTTGTGTACCTCTTCTCTTTTATCAGGGAAGGAAATCTTTCTCCAAAACCTACTTGTAGACTGCCCACTTCCCTTTACATCTAGTTGGTCAAAACTGAGTTATATGTGTGTATCTTAGACCAAGGGTTGAGTCCAACTTCCCTGATGTCAGGAGGGTTTGGAATGGCATTTGGGTTGGTACCTTCCTACACCTGCTAGTACTTAGACAGGATTTGGTATACTGATTTATAGACTGTTAGATTTGGAAGACACAGTAGAATATTTTAATTTGTCTTAAAAGTTTTCTCTCACCCCAAAGCATGTCATGTTCCTATGGATGTAGCCAGGATTATATATCATTTTTACAAACTACAGAACATAAAAGAATTGAACTGCTTGCCATAGGAGTCTTAGCTGGTTATGACCCACCTGTGTGTTGAGACATGAAGTCACACAGTCTTGATCTAATGTAACCCTCTTGTTTCTAGAGATGAGGGCCAGCGAAGTTGAGTGAAGTCGCCCAAAGTCACTACATATTTAGGATAAGAACTAAGCTCATAACCCAATCTCTTCACTCCCAGTTCAAAGACTATGTTTTTTACTGTAGGATCATAAGATGGCATATATTCTATTATTGCATAACAAGATACCACAAACTTAGTGACTTAAACCAACACATATTTATTACCTCACAACTTATATGGGTCAGGAGTCTGGGCACAGCTTAGCTGGGTCCTCAGCTTAGGTTCTCAGTAGGCAGCTGCGTAGCAGCTGGGCTGTGTTCTCATCTAGAGGTTCAACTGGGGAAGAAACTGCTTACAAGTTCACAAAGGTCGTCAGCAAAAGTCATTTTCTAGTGGCTTAAGTTTCTTGCTGGCAGTTGGCCAGAGGCCACCTTCAACTCCTAGAGGCTGCCCACTGTTCCTACCTTGTGGCCCTTTCCATATGCAGTTCATAGCATGGCCACTGGCTTCTTCAAGATGGCACAAGAATGAGAGAAAAATGCAACATGCAGTTTTATATAACATAACATAATCACTGGAGTGATGTCTCCTTACTTTTGCCGTATAACTTAGCCTAATCAAGAGTGACACTACAACACTTTTGATATTTTATAGTCTGAAGCAAGTCACAGGACTTACCTATAGTCAAGGGGAAAGGATCATACAAGGGCTTGAAAACCTAAAGGTGGGGACTGTGGAGGCGACTTTAGGGTATGTCTGCCTCAGATGACCTGATAGCTCCATAGTTACGAGCCAGGAAAGGCTTGTTAGCTCATTTTAGCCAGAGAGTTTTAACTTCTTCTCCCAGAGAGTAAGGAAGGACTAAGTCGATGGCAGTTTTAGCTTCTCTCTTTCCTGCCATCCTCTCTTAGGCCAATGACTGGCCAAAAGTCAGTAAGTGGAAGATGAAGGAAAACATGTAAAGACAGAGCAGGTAATGCTGAATATCCAAGACTCGGCCGATGTGAAGTGAAAAAAGAAGTTGTGGAAACAGAATCAGCAAATGACTTGGATATAAGGAGTAAAGGAGAAGAGAAAGGAAGCAGCAAAGACACTGCAGGTCCAAGAAACTAGGAGGATGCTAATGCTTGTGTATAGACAAAAATGGTTTTAACAGATGGCTGTCTATATAGTCTACAATCGGAACCATTTTAGATATAGGAGATGTGGCTGCAGAGGCATGATCTAGGAGACAGTGAAGTAAAGAGAAGGCTTAATTCCAAGGAAGTTAGGGATTTGGGAAGTAAGCAGGAGAAGGAAAAGAGGGGCCTGACAAGATGATGGGGGGCTAGCCCTAAGGAGAAAGATGGCCACTAAGAAAATTCCTGACCAGGGCCACAGGTCTCTGAACTGGGATTTCTCAAATTTAATTATTTTAGGTTATCTGTGATGTCCTGTGATTTAAACCCTCTCTATCCACCCAAATCTTCATAAAATCTGTTATTTATACAAATGGGGGTGGGGAAAAAAGACTGCTGAGTTTGAGTGATGCCTGCGCGGTTGTCAGGAGAGGTTCTTACCAGTTTCTGAGAGGAGCAAGCTTGGTCCTGTAATGGGAGCCTCCTAGAAGCCATCTGGTTAATAGCACCTGCTTCACCCCAACCCCGCAGGTGAACCTGTCTTCAGGGACTGTGAAGGTGGTAGTTGTGGACTCGGTCACCGCTGTGGTCTCCCCACTTCTGGGAGGTCAGCAGAGGGAAGGTGAGTGTTATGACACAGTCCAGGGTCAGAGATGTGATCTTCCAGCACTGGAGTCCAGTCTTCAGCCAGCCCAGTCCCTGAACCCTGATGCCCTCCCCTCTGCTTCTCCTCCTCCAGGCTTGGCCTTGATGATGCAGCTGGCCCAAGAGTTAAAGACCCTGGCCCAGGACCTTGGCGTGGCAGTGCTGGTGAGAAAGTGGGCTTGGCCAGTCGTGCTTGTCGTACCTCTGATCCCTGGGCTTCACCAAGTGAGGAGATCATGATTTCTAGTTGCAGCTCTCTATTTCCCTTAAATAGCAACTTCTGAACCCCTGAAGTGGCCCTTTAGGAAAAGGTCACAGCTGAACTTCCCACGGTCATCTAGAGGACTGGACCGTGAGGGGATTGGACCATAAAGAGCCAAGGGATCGGAGACAGCATTGTTTTTCTTTTTACTTTGTCATGTTTATTGAAGTAAATTCATATAGAGTAACTTTCTCCTCATTTGAAGTTTGACTAATGGATACTGTTGTATCTCGTTTTGTTACCCCACCTCAGTCAAGACATAGAGTGTTTCTATCATCCCAGAATGTTCTCCTAGCCCCAGACAACCACTGACCTGGTTTCTGTCCCAACAGTTTTACCTTTTCCAGAACTTCATAGAAATGGATCTTTTTGCTTTTAAAGTATCTTTTTCTATTTCTGAAGTAATTCCTTAAAAATCTGCACATTTTTCATAAAAGGATAAAAAATAGTTAAATATAAGAGTCAAATCTGTAATCAATCTCTACATCTACAGAAATCATATTTTTACATATGTCCGTAAAATTGTTTTCTCTGCACATCTATGTAAACTTTTAACCAACTTTCCAATTAAACTGTAACCTTGTTTAAAAAAAAAAATAGCTTAGCATCTCATTCCATTTCCCTAGTCTTTAAATAGATTCTTTAAGAATGCCATTTTTAGTAGTTAACATATTATCTTGTTAAATATCTATGTTACAGAGGTTGGCAAACTTTTTCTGTAAAGGGCCTGATACTATTTGAGGCTTTACAATCACATGGTCTATGTTGCAACTACTCAACTCTTCCTATATAGCATGAGCGTAGCCATAGAGAATATCTAAACAAATGGGCATGGCTGTATGGCAAGAAAATCTGGTTGTCAAGAACAAATTTTGATTTGGAGTATAGTATAAGGTATATATAATCAATATTATTGTAATGGTTGTGTGTAGTGCCAGATGGGTGCTCGAGTAATCAGGGGGATCACTTCATGGGTTGTATAAATGTCTAACTTTCTTAAATTTAAGAAGTAAAGAAATGAGTAAAAAAAAGTTAGAGGGTTAGAGTTTGCCTGGGGGCAATACTAGTTTGCCGACCCCTGGTATACTATAATGATCTTGTTTCCTGATTTGGGGCCTTTAGGTCATTACTGGTTTTCCTCTATCTTAAATAAAACTATAGTGAACAGCCTTATACCTAAGTCTCTTGCATATCTCATATTGTTTTATCAAACGCCTAAAAATATAACTACTGAGTCAAGGATACATGTATGTTTAAATGTCTAGATATGACATTGCCAAATTCTAGAAAAGCTATATTAATTTGTGCACCCACTGGCAGTGTAAGAGGATCTGTTTTCCTGTGCTTTTATTCTCATACTGGGTCCTAAGGCCTCCTTCTCCTGACTTTGGGATGTATGTAATCACCTGCTATGTGCCAGGCCCTGGCTTAGGCAGTGGGGATTCAGTGATGAACAAGCCACAGCCCCTGCCCTGGGAGGACCGGAGGTAGGTGGGGAGAACTTCATCAAGAGGATGCTGCAAGGCTCAGGTTGCTTATCTGTGACTAGCCTGGGCAGAGTAGAGCTGACTAACTAGATTAGGACCCCCTTTCCAAACTCCCCCCAGCTCCCACATACACAGATGAACCCCCTGACACAAAGGGCTGGGTGAACATGGTCTCAGGATGCCTATCTGCTGGGTTGCGGTGGTAATAAGCTAAAACCCACCACTGGCTTCCCTTCAGGAAAGTGCAAACATCACTGCTTATTCCCAGACATGTGACATTACCTTTGTTAGAGTCATGCCTGAGGCATTGTGGTTTAGTGGAAAGAGCTGTGCCCAAGTCAGGAGCCCAGGGTTCTAGTTCCAGACCCATCATGGATAAGTTATGGAGCTTTGGGGAAGGTGTTTTCTCCATGCTAGGCCTCAGTGTTTCCGTCTGTAAAATGAAGCAGTGGGAATGGTTGTCCTCTATACTACTATTATGGATCTGTAAGTCTTCAATTATCTCTGTCACAGGTGACCAACCACATGACACGAGACAGGGACAGTGGGAAGTTCAAACCTGCCCTGGGCCGCTCCTGGAGTTTTGTGCCCAGCACCCGGATTGTACTGGCCATTGGTGAAGAAGCAGGAGCACCAGGCAGTCAGCGCACAGTGTGTCTGACCAAATCTCCCCGTCTGGTGAGCCACTCCGGGAGATAGCCAGTAATCTGGGCCCTTGAGGGTGGTCTCTAGGCCCACAGATGTCTTATAGAGGAATTCTTGAATACTGAGACCCTGTAACCAAAGAGATTACCCATTTGGGTTGCTTAACTCAAAAACTTACCCTTCCCTCCTGTCTTCTTCCAGCCAACAGGTTTCCAGGAAACAGTAGACATTGGGACCTGGGGGACTCCGGAGCAGAGCCCAGTGTTACAGGGAGACCAGATGTGACTGTGCTGTTGATTGGGAAGGGAAAAGGCATCAAGGCCCCCAACTCTACTGAGCAGGAGTGCCCCAAGTGCCACCCAGCACTTGAGACTGCAGGAGAAGCTCTCAGGCTGGGTAAAAGAGACATCTCAGTTTCTTCAGCTTGTCTCCCTGTGGAAACACATAGAGCTACAGGTGAGAGAGGATGCTATGGTGGAAGGACCCAGAAATTCATGCTGATGCCGTGTTTTCTTCCCTCGTTTCTACTATGTATGTTTTCAGTGGGAGCTGAGTTCACCTTGGCTTGGGGCATCTCTGAAAAGACACACTAATGACTAGAAGGATAACCTTGTGTGTCACCATCATACCTGCACTCTATCCTAACACAGTGACTGAGCCATGAAGCCTCTAGCTTGCCTTTGCTTCTCTTCTTCTTTCATTTTTTCTCCCCTCTTTTTCCAACTGTAAAATGAGGCTCCCTTCCCCTTAGCTCTGTTTTTGAGTTACTGGGTTGAAGTAACCTCATAAATGCGAAACTCTTTGTCATCTATGTCCTGCTCTTAAAAATATAAAAAGGAAATTCCCTGAGCCTCAAAGCCACCTAATTTCCCCTAAGAAAGTTGTTTTTCAGTTTCCCCCAGTGAGGCCCCAAAGAATGGTTTTTCTTCTTTTGCTCTTGTTGATTTGGTTTCACACACCTGCATGCATCACCAGGACTAGGTGAGACCGCGAGCTCTCTGCAGTCCCAGGGATATAATTTAACAGGAAGGGAGGATGCAAACTGCTCCTGGTGAATCCAGCCACTTGTTTAATTTGTATGGTGCCCTGTGGGGCCCCTCCACAGTACAGAGTAACCAGAGGTGCTGAACCATGGCCCATAAACAGATAAAGGAGAATTTGCTCAGTAAATAGAGCCAGCTGGGAAAATTGATGCTAGCATAAATAATACACGGCAAATCTGGTCTTTATGCAGAAATTCTTTGCCGGCGGCTCCAAGATGCAATATAATTACCCTTCTCTTCTTGCCAGCTGTACCACAGCCTAGTGCCCTAGTGTATGAAATAACCCCCTGTCTGTTACAAGCACTGAGGCCATCCATCTGAGAGCTTCCACTCCCTGGCTGGGAGAGGAAGAGGCCAGTAGGGAAGAGAAAATAAAAAGCAAAGTAGAGAAATGATCATGATTGTTTGCTGAACACATTGTTTAAAGGAAGGTCACCTTTCTCAGCTTATTTTGTAATTAGTTGTGTCTTGGCTGAAAGAAAAGAGAGGTCAATTATAGGCGGAAGATATGACATTTAGAGATGATAAATGCAGCAGGGAAAGAAGCTTCTTGGGAATGCATGGCAGACTGACTCGAGGGTATCTGCCTGAGTGAGGATGGTTGGTGAGCCTAACTATGGGAACCCTAGCACTGCTGCTCTCACAGGGGACCTCAGGAGAAATTAATCTTCAGTGTCCTTATTGCTATGAGCAGTTGGCACATTTCTGCAACCATGAAAGGAAACAATACGTTAAGCTAGGAGTGGCAAATCCCTGCTCACTCTTACCATTTGGGCATCCTGAGCACATGTAGACATCACTAATTGATCAACTATTCTTTTTTGTGGATCTTGGAATCTTTTGCAGTTTTCCTCCGCACAGCACTCCAGGCAACCACAACCAATCAGTTGGACTTGGCATTCAGGGTGGAGCCTCCACCCTGGGCAGATCTGTCATATTTCCAGGCTGTCATGTTTCCAGGTACTTAGTTCCTGACTGAGAACCCTAGAATAATGCAGTTTGAGAGGCCAGTAAAGATCATCTGGCCTATCCTGTCATTTGACAGAAGGAAACAGACCCAAAGAGGCATGGTGACAGTCCCACTGGCAGAAAAAGAGCTGGAACCAGGACTCCTAATTCCTAGGCCAGGACTCTTTCTGTCCCCATGTTGCCTTTAATTTCCAATCCACACAGTTCCAT